CCTGTAACCTTGAATTGTAAGATAACATTAAAAGACTTTTTATAATAATGCCTTATTTCATTCACACACACCTACTCATACTGGAGGCTGCTGAGGCGGGGGATTAAATCACCTTCTGACCACAGAACCAGAAGATCCACAGTCAAAGAGCTTCACTGCAGTGAAGGTAAAGTCACCCCTTTACCCATTTCAAATCAAACTAATTTTGATGCCAGATAAAGATAACCCAAGTAATAAATTGTGTTTTTATTTACCAATGGGGGGAAAAAAGCAACCCAGGCCAATCTGGTGTCTTGCTAAGATAAATATATTTTCCACTATTAAATCATGTATTAACTGTTATTATCCACATTTTGGGTTGAATTTTGTCTAGAAGGGGTTACAAAGGCTTTGGGGTCCTAGTGACGCGCAGTGAAGGCAATCATTCACACATAAAGAAAACATATCACAGGACTGAACCTTCCCAGGAGGAGCCATAATTACTCCAGCAGCCCACTGTGGCAGCGTAATGTTCTGGGCTGCAGTGCTGCTTCAAGAGCTGAACGACTTGATGGAGCCATTCAGCTCTCTCCTAAATGTGTTCCACAATTATTCCATCAAAAAATAAAGTTGTGTTCAAAACTTTTGGAATCGTAATATTTTTGTTTTTGTTTCAAACAAAAAGGAAAAAAAAAACTTTTCACTTAAAAAACTAGCAGCAAAGCTAAAGAGGGAAAACACACCGGACTTCGCTGTTCGTTAATAAACACACGGAGGCATTACATAGCAGTTTTTAACACATATTTCCTCCAGATACATTTGGTATTTTCCACGCTTAATGCCACTCGACAGAGGTGCGCTGGTTAACGAATTCAACATAAAGACAGGCGAACATTACACAAGCCTAGTTTATGTACTTTACCTAGTGCTAACATTAGCTAGCATAATATGCTAACAGGGACCGCGGCAGACAAGATATGTGACTGTCGTCTTAAGTTATGTAAGATTTCTTCTTTGAAAAAGGGGAGGACACTTTAGTAGTTATTAACGGTGAAATTTTGTGAAGCTTGCTTACCATTCACATTTTGTCACGTCACTGAAGTGAGGCAGCAAGCCCGGGAGTTCGGGGCAGAGTTCTGACAGAGCAGTCAGAGTCATCCGCTTTAGTCAGGCTAACCAATAGGAACACGTCTTACATCGCTCGTCTTTAGGCCCCGCCCAGGATGTTCATGTTTCCACCAATCAAAACTCTTCGAGTTCAATCAAAAAATGGATCGTCAAAAACTTAGGCTATGCTGTCAACCAAAACATTCTGACGTGCAAATAAAAGTTTATGTTCTGCAAATAACTTTTTCACTTACGAGACAAAAATTAGTGATTTTAATTTTTTTTAAATAGTTTTTTTTTTAAAACAAAACGTTTTTTGTTTTCGAGATAAGTTTTCGTTTTTGTTTGAAACAAAAAAGAAAAGTTATTACAATAAAAGTTTTAAAAAATTTTTTTTGACATTCTATTTTTGATTGAAGTGAAACAAATTTAACTCCATATAGTTTTAGACTTGGACTTTTTTGGTCAATGTGTCATTTAAATACTGAACCTTTTTAAACTTGACAACTCAACCAAGTAACAGGTAAACAGATGTAAACATAACTAAATGTAGTTCTAAAATTATTTGATCATTTGGTTAAACTAAATGCGACTTTCAACATCTGTGTGGGGCTTAATTTGGACATAAAAAAACTTTATCTCTAATTTTTCCAGTATTTATAAAGATAAGGACTGACCAACCTAAAACGGAAAATAAAAGCATGACCACAGATGTCCGGTAACTGGGAAAAATATCTGGCGGTTGTGAGTTTCCTTTCAAGCTTTGAAAAAAAAGGTAAATTAAAGAGTCAATGTTTTTTTTTTTACTTTTAAAGAGGAAATGGAAAGCAAAAGAGGACGTCCACTGAAGAGAAAATGTCTTACTGCACTTATCGAAAACATTTGTACAAAGAGAATGCCAATATGCAGTTTTAACAGCATAGCAGCTTTTACTCCATCTGCAGTATACAGACTAAAGGTTTCTATTTTAATGACACACAAAGTCCACAAAAAACAAGATTTATGGATTCTTGGAAACTCTCCAGTATAGGGAGAATAAGCAGATTTTTTCCCATCATGCCATTTCTGAGTACTTTAAAGGAAAAAAAAAATCAATAAAGTTTAATAAAGACTTTTTTTTTTCTGTCCACATCCTGTGCTGCACACCATCATTTCTGATGACTAATAACACCCATACTCTTTGATTAATGTGCAATAGAAAATGGGTGCTTTAGTGGGTCAGCTTCTACATGGCAGCACTCCAAATATATTTTTTAATCTGCAATAAAGCCCTCCACTGGAAGCAAACAGGACAGCTGCTGCTATATTTACGCTCTTTATGCTCCTTGTGTGTGCCAGCGTGTCATCTCTCTTTGTTCCCAACTACCTCAACTGGCTAATGCACACATCTGTTCTCCCCATTGTTGCTCCTTATGTCTTTTACTTAGTGGCCACTGAGTTACTCACAAGGTCACTTAGTATTAAGGAGGCCTGACACTTAAAGCTTACAAAAGAGCTATAAAAGCATGTCTATCCTTGACATTTTGCTGTGCTTCAGTATAGTAACAGGGTTTTTTTTTTTTTTTTTTTTTAGGGGATAAAAGGTTTATTAACTGTTAGATCAATTGGACATTATTCAACTTTAATTGGATTTTTTTTTTTTAGAAAATTAGCTTATTGACTTCACAGTGCAGCACAGGTAGACTGCTAGATGAGAAGAGATACTGCAGAGTTACTGTCTACAGGACCAATTACTGCACAGTTACCGTCTACAGGAACAGGACCTCTCGGTTAAAATTTATTCACTTGGTAAATAATGTTTGCAGGACACGGTGTGCAAGATGAGGGGAGAGAGAACCCGAGAGAGGCTGTTTATTAAATGTTATCGATTTTTACCATAATTCATCACACAGAAATAGCAAAATCATTTTTAAGAGAATCCACAAATAACGTTTTTAGATGTGCGGGTGTTTCATTTAGAGACACCGAGCCTAATTCAGTATGTGGGGGAGCAGGGTGGGGGCGTGGGGGTGCAAGACTGACTGTGTACTTAATCTTATTTCTAGAGAATGCAATAACTATGTTGGCAGAAAAAAATTGATTTTATACCCTCAGTGAAGTAAAATGGCCTTTTTGCCACCTATGGTTGTGAAAGAATATGTTGTAAACTATGAAAAATAAAATATTTAATTTCTGCAATGCAGAGGTTTCTATTATTGCAATTTTATCAGAACCAAATTTTACAAAATGTGATTGATCCATGCAACCACAGAAACGACTTGTATCACAACATAAATTTGTCTATTTAAAAACAAAATGAAATGACTACCGTTGTTTTCCTCAGTTCTATTACTGGATGGAAAATTCAATTAGAAATAATCCACACACACTTTCACGCAGCAGTCTCTCTTAAGCCATCTTCAAAAGGTTCCCTATTCCCCACTATTCAGATGTCGAGTCAGCTTTGAGAAAAATCAACTAAATGACAATAATGATGTTAAGTGGTGATGTCTTTTTAAAAAAAATAAAAATAATACAGAAGTCTAAATTTTCACAAATGTGAGTCTGAATCGAAAGTAAATATTAAATTTCAAAAAGTGGTTTGCAAGTTGTTTTTTTATTCTAACCCAAAACTGTTGTTCTGTTTTGAAAGCAAGAAATATTTTTAGGTACTGCTATTTTAACTCTTAATTTTAAGTATCTACAATAACAAACCATATTTAACTGACAAAGTTTACATAATTCAGTCTTGAAAGGTATAAACTTCACTTCTAGCTGGTGATGCAAAAATCAGTCAGATCAACAATTGGCAAATATTCTCTTGATCGATTATAAATGGCTCTCACTCTCTTATGTATGTTTTAGTAAATAAAATAGATTTTAGATGAAAGCTTTGACATTTAAGCAGCGGTCATGTTCCCTAACAGAGGGAGCTCACATTGCTGTTGCGGAAAGAAAACCTAATTATATCTAATTACATTTGTGTTTAAAAGTATTCAAGTTGTTGTTTTTTTAGCGCATCAGTATACACAGTGATTAAAAAAGTATAATTAATCAGAAAATGGTTTAGACTGGCACCACTTTGAAACTACTTCAAACATTTGACATGCTGACGTGAGTGAATCTTCATTAATCAAAGAGGATCTGCCTAGCATATAATAGGTTTAATATTTTCATTGGGTCACATTGAGAATAAATAATTCTGTGTTTTCCTTAGATGGATAGTTTGATGTTGACCAATTGGTCTTTAACACCAACTTTCTGAGTCATGTTTGGTTTTTTTGTTTTCTTTTAAAAGAAGAAAACACAAGGGGGCGGGGTATTATAAAGATAACTACATAAGTGATAAAATGTTAAATCTGAAACATTTTATATTCCATCTTGAGCTTTATGTGGTAGATTTGGAAAACTCTTGAAATGCTTCACAATATTTTAGTCCTTTAGTAATTATCTTACAAACAGTAACATTGATTCCAAATTGATAATTTGATCATATTTTCAGGGGGAGAAAGAGAAAGCCCTATTCCAGGCCAAATTCTATGCAAAGAATGGTCTATTAAATTTGGTGAAAAGGAATTGGAATTAAAGCTCAGGTGTTTCTGGAAAATTGTTTGGAAAATAGAGAAACAAAATTACAATTGGAGTCATCAAAATCAAAGGCCTGAGTCCACCACCAGAACATGGAGGGGAGGACTCCCTGTGACCTGATTATGCCATTCAGTGAAAAAACGCCACATCCCACCACCAGAGCCAAGGCTGGGAGATCAGGGCAGAGGAGAACAATGAATCAGTATAGAGGGGTTCTAGATATTGACTAGTCTCACGAATTGTGCATTCTCATTTTATTGTACCGATAGGTTTTCCTCTAACTTTTAAATTAGTAAATATTTAAAAAAATGTTCAAGTCAACTTAATTTAGGATCACAATAAGACAAAAATGTTTTACTCATTTTTATTAACCATTTCATATTTTTGGGAATGTTTGGTCACCTAAACACATTAGCTTAGTTTTATGGGACGTGTCCAGAGGGTTGTAACACTGAGGGCTGCGATCCGTTCACTGCCTGCTGTCCCGCCTCATGATCATCTCCCCACTGAGCCGTTCAGCATTGCCTCCAAGTACAAGGAGAGTTGGAGTCTCCCCAGCCACTGGGGGGAAAGTCATCCATTGAGGATTGACCAACTACAAGAGGGCAACCAGCAACACCAACCCTACCCAGCTGTTTGGAGCTCTGATTATCCTGACGTCGGCCTGCAGCTACAACGCTAGCTACATGGACCACCTCATCTCTGTCTGCATGCGATCACTGCAGAATGTGGTTCAGGAACACTTGAGTTCCCAGCAGGCCAACCAGGGGTCACAGAGCCTAGTCCAGCGACCAGTGAGCTGGTGATCTGGTGAAGACTCGGCTGTCGGTGATGGGCATGGAGATGAGGAAGAACTTCATCCAGGTCATCCTCACATCTCCAATAGAGGCTGCAGAGGATCAAAGACCAGCAGCCGTAGTCCGAGTCCGAAGCCATAACCTGTGAGGGAACCAGCGGCGGCAATGTGAAGAGAGGACTGTCTCTGGGACTAGCCGAGACCGGGCAGGACGTCAAGCAGTTCCTAATGGCAGCCGGCACTGAGTAAATGGTGTTTGGCCCTAGCCAATCCATGCCAGGAACAGAGACCATGCTCAGCAAACCTGTGGAGAAGCAACACACCGACACCTTGGTCAACTTCCTATTTGCATGTTCGTACATACACGCACACACAGAGCACACACTCACAAAACTAAGGTTTTAATCAAATCAAATGTTAGGGAACGCCCACTTTAGGGCGTAGCTTAGACGGAGGTCAACAAAGAGAACTAGAAACTGTTGTTAGATGTCATTTTGTTCTGTTAGCCTGTAAGGACAGCATAATAAAAAAAAAATGGACCAGTGCTGCCTTTCAGTCTTAATAAAAGGAATTGATGACCTCAACTCACTGATTCCTCTTCGACCTCATACGAACCTAGCTGTAGAAAGGATAATTCTCCACAGTCATAATTGTGTCATACCTGCATGACTTCTGTAACAGTGGCACCTGACTCTGTTCTACATTGTAACGCTGCTGCCGAGGATTAGTAGTTTTCAAAATGATCAGAATCCACTTAGCACAATGCAATTTGCAGCGATTTGTGTGCCCAACTATCACAGATTAAGGTACATGCCACTGTTACCAACTTCACTAAGAGAAAACAACAGCCACTTTTTCTTAAAAAAATCTAGCTGTTCCTTTAAGAAAATCATATCAAACTTTGGCCAAACAGCTGTACCAAGTTATGGCTCATTTCCCAGCTTATGTGTGGATGATTTCAAAACCAAGACTGTATTCTTTATTTTGAGATCTTTCTTGAGCTGAGTAAAGTCCCTCCAATGACAGCATTGGGGGGATCTATAAAGGGAATAATGCATTTTAATTCAGTCATTGGATGGAAGACCTTTCCATGGCAACTATGTCAAGACAACTGTCCCAAAAAACTGGCACTGGCGCCCTCTCTCTCTCCCTCTCTCACACACACACACACGGACAGGATCCAAGGAACTCTAAGGAATATTGTATCACAGCAGCCTGTCCCTCTCTGGATGGAAAGTCTTAGGGCAGTCTGGAAGAAAGTTGAGCCGTTCTCGATGTCTCCAGTGCTTTGTTCAAACATTTTAGTAAAACTTTTAAGGACAACCCATCTATAATTAATGCACTTTATTGAATCCATAAACATCCCACACAGACCATTGTTACCAATTTTAAGGACCTGCAGTCAGATGAAAGGGTTATTATACAGACCCCATTAGTTCATCATTTGTTCATATACAACTAATTTAACAGACATTATTTAAACCAGTTAAAGAAACAGCAGACTATTGTCATCAGACGCCCCAATTTTGGGTGGATTTTTTTGTAGGATTTGTGTATAATTTCCCTCAGACCTGCTGTTTTATACAATGTAATTCAAGGGCCCATGTAAATCATAAATGTCTCAAACATTCCCTTTATTTATCCCCTGGTTGGGTTATGAAAAGAAATGACCCCATAGGCACAACCGTGCAAAGAGGCCTCTTACTCACCCTGGCAGGGACCCAGAGGGCGCACTCCTTTAGTGATGATGAAACAGCTAAGGATGAGTTTTTTCTTAGAGACGAAGGAATTTGGTAACAATACAAGGTCAGAGGGATCTGAGAGCACTGCGTCAATAACCTGACTAAGTTATTGACTTAGTCAATAACTTAGAGATCACTCTTGCAAAGTGATCTCTGCAAGAGATCACTTTGTGGTTAATGTTCAAACTGGGATTTAATCATGTTTTGCAGATTTAACAGCTTTATTATTTAAAACACCATTCTCTGCCAGCTGATCTCCAACTAATGAACAGTTTCAAATTGGACTCAAACTCTTTCTAACTGGTTCACTGCTCTGTTGTCCAGGTGACAAATGGTGCACATCCACACACTTTGAATGAGAGAAGATTTTAAAATAATATGTCTGTTTAATCCTCAGGCAGCTTGTGTTTCCGATGACTAAGGTTTAAGCCTCTGTTTAAGAACACTTTGTTCTTTTCCTTTACTTCGGCCATTTATATTGTAATAGCTTTATTTCATTTCTGTATTTTCATCAAAATTTGTTCTTCATTCTTACAAACAGAATTTATTTGTGGAAACAGTACAACATTAAAATAATAATCACAGAGAGGTACCAATGCATTTGCCACATTTAGTCAACGATTAAAACTAAACTAGCTTCCCTTACCCATCTACTGCTGATAACATTTCACAGCTCACAACATGCTGGACTAAAATGTTGGTTAAATTTTGGTTATTGTACAAGTTTAAACTATAATACATTACATTTACTCAAAACTTGACCCGGTTCCTTTTGCCTGAAATGCTGCATCAGTGCAGTGAAAGCCTCCGACTGTGTTGAGGTGTAAAAGTAGAGCCCATCTTTGTTGAATTGTTGGAGAGACTGCTATAATTATAAGGCCAGGAGTCTGCAAAATTTACAAACCAGACAGCAACTGTTGCATTATCTTTTGAGAAAATGTTTTTGATAAAGTGTAAAATGTAGAAATTGTTAGGTCATTTTAAAAGAACCACTATTTTATCTTTAATTTTGGGTTTACAGGTAACAAAAACAAAAAAATAATTTGCAAAAAGAGGACGGATACATTTTCTTCTATTGATTATTGATGTTTGTGGCAAAATACCGTTTCCAACATGACAAGAAAAAATACCATCGCTGGTACTTTTAAAGTATTTTCGTTGCGTAAATTAAATGCAGACAAAACTGGTAAAATCTCAATTTATTATTGTATCTATACTTTTTCCTTTGTTAATTGTTGGTTCTACAAATTATTAAGAGCCCTATTGTGGAAAG